GAGCTGCACAAGGCGGAGGACAGCCTCCTGGCCGCCGACGAGACCGCCGCCAAGGTACCCGGGGCTAGCAGCGCAGCGCGGCGCACGAATGGCTAACTGTCTTTCTCTCTCTCTCTCTCCCTCCTTGTACTCCCCCTCTCTCTCCCGCTGTCCCTGTCCTTCTGGTTCTGTGCACCCACACCCCTCCCTTGCGGGATCACGCTGCCTGCGCACCCCCCCCTCCCCGTACCCCACGGCCAACTCCCAGCTGGAGGATGAGCTGGTGTCGCTGCAAAAGAAACTCAAGGGCACTGAGGATGAACTGGACAAATACTCCGAGGCTCTCAAAGATGCCCAGGAAAAGCTGGAGCTGGCAGAGAAAAAGGCCACCGACGTAAGTGCACGCTCACACTGCCTCCCTCACCTCTAGCCCACCATGGCCGCTCGAGCCCCAGCCCCAGGAGCTGGAGAGCCATGGAGGAGGGTTCCCTCCTTCCGCTGGACACCTGCGCACCGCCCCGCCATGGCCCAGAGCACTGGATGCCGCTTCAGACTGCTCCCGCACACACTCATTTATACTTCATCCATTCCTCTGCTCTCCTGTTCTCCTCTTCTTTACCCCTCGGGAGTGTGGAGGTGGGTGGGTGAGAAGCTAGGAAAACAGAGCACCTGCACTTGGACCCTGGAGGTGAACCACGCCTCCCTGGTGACAGAAACCCCTGAGGTCATCGCCAAGGTTTGTGCAGACAATGCCTAGTTTTCATGACTTTCTTTCGGCCATCTCGTGGGCGGGAAGGTCTGGGTTTTGGTGGTGGGCCTAGTCGGGGTACAGTGGGGCTAGCCTCTAAGTCAAAGAAATGACATGGTGATACTTAGAAGTCTGCACTTTGTGGTGGGGTGCTGAGAACTTTGAGGCTTCCTTCCTCACTAGAGAAGCCTTCGTCTAGCCCTTAAGATCTGCCTGGGAAGATGATACTTGCTTGGGTCTGCAGTCTGCGGGTGCTGGATCCAGAAAGTAAGCCCGGAGCTATATATAGCTCAGCGCTTTATATGGGAGAGTGAGTGCTGCCCCCTGGCCCCCCTGCCCGCCCCGCCCCCACCTGTCAGCATAGTTTCAGGGGTGATGCACACAGGGCTGTCTACTAGCACTTTCTCCACTGCCCTTTGGAATCTTTTTAACTGAGAGCTTGCCTCTCCTGCCTCAGAGTCAAGCCAAGCATTCCATTTCCAAAGGAAAGACTTTTCACACCGTTGGATTCCATTCTAGAAGCTAATTAAGCCCAGAGACCCAATTAGAAAAGAATTCCTTGGGAAGTTGTTAACAATTCCAAGAATGTATGAGCACCCAGAACATTATGCCCAGAAATTGACCACCAAGTGCAAAAGCAGAATGGTTTTGGATGAGAGTGAAATGCAAATTACTGAAGGGTCTCAGGCCTTGAAATCAGAAAGGGCTTTTTAAGAGTAGGAAAGGCTTGAAATATACCCCCAGGTATGCTTTGTAAATGAGAAATCCAGACATAGGCCATTTAGAACCTGACAAAAGTAAATGTTTCATGTAAATTAAGGTTCCTGGAAAGGGGTTTGGGGAAAGCTGTGATTTCATTAGGTCACTTAAGTTAGAAACTACCTGGCTTTAGAAGTCAAAAACATGTAACTCAGAACCAGCTTCATATAATGCAGATCAGATGTCTGCTCCGTATATGGCCAAATGGAGGATGCCTGTCTCCCCCAAATTCTCCAGCAGGACGTTTATTTAGCGTTTTTTTTTTTTTAGAGAGTGGCTGATAGATCAAGGAGAGATATTCCTTATAAGGAAAAGAATGCAGAGAATTTGAAAATAGTCCAGTAAGACCAAAGGCAAGAGAGGGAGAAAAAAATGCTACTACAATTCTTAAGGAGAAGAAAGACAATAATTATTGTAACTACATAGTGCTCTCATATCTCTATTGAAAAGTCTTGTCTAAGAGAGTTTTAGAATGGGGTGGGGCAGAAATGGAAAAGGAGGCTATTTAAAATCAGTTGGGAGGCGGGGCCAGCAGGAGGGGGAGGTTCCTGATTTCTGTTTGGGGTCTCTTTTTTTCACTGGAAAACTGTCCCTAAATATGGCATGCATTTCCCCCACACTGTATTGATCATCTTTACCTTAAGATATTGTAGGTTTGGAGCCTGTAGGGATGTTGAAGAAGTTTGGGAAGAAATGTTCTTTTTACCGTGATTCCTGAGTGTGTAAGAACAGTCAAGACTTAGGGGGAAGAGACAGACGTCACTAGAGAATGGGGAAGGTGGGAGAAAGCTTGGCTTCCTGAGGAAGAAGGATATTTATTACCTTTGGGATTGAGTCAGCTCCCTGCTCTTACTCTCCACTGTAAAACATTTTATATTTTTTCTATCGCTAGGACTAAAAATGTCTTTCCGCTAATCTACCAACATGCTTCACAAATCCTATTCCAGAAACAGGCTCCTCCTAGTTTAAAGGATTGTAATTCTGGAGATAGCAGTCCTGATTGGTCTAGATAAGGGAGACTAAGGGAGACATGGGCTCTCCCCCCTTAACCCCTTTCCTCAACAATTGTGATGTATCTAATATCTGTAGTGAATCTTTATGCTCCTGTAGGTCTTTACTTCCTAAATTAGTGGTTCTGAACCTTATCTAAAGGTAATCAACTATGCAGGTTTCAAACCCCAAAGTCAGGCTGCACCTCAGGCTGATTAAATCGGAATTTCTGGGGGTGGAATCCAGGTGGCAGGAGCTTTTAAATACCCAGGTGATTCCAACTTGTTGCCAAGGCTGAGAACAACTGTCCTAAACTCTTGTATAATGACATAAGCGTGGCAGTGAACTCACCTGAAACTAACCTCCCCAGGTGTTTGAAAAGCAGGACATTAAATCGCTAGTTGGCCACAAGGAGCACTGACCAGCAGTTTCCCTGGCTTCTCCTGAAGGCTCTCAGGCACCCACATCTCTCGTGCCCAGGGTTGGCACCCACAGTCTGGCTCAGCAAAGGAGCTGTGAGCTCCCTGCCTGTAGACTGGTGGCGTGGCCGAGTGCGAGGCTCCACCTACAGGATGTGAGGGTGAGCGTCTCAGCGGAGGCTGTGAGACACTCCATGAGTCAGGAAAGCACAGGAGAACTGTAGAGGAGGAGGGGGATGTCAAGCACGTTTTCTTTGCCTCACCATTCCCACGCTTTAAACAGCAGGAACTGACTTAAGAGCCTCCTGAGACAAAAGTTAAGAAAAGCCTGAAGACGGGAACCAGCAGTTAGTGTAATGACTATGTCACTGAACTCCCACGTAGTTGCCCGTGGTTCGCGTCCCAGACCCGGTGGCTTAAAACTCACGCCGGGTGTGTGTGCGTGCAAGGGATTGTGGCATGATACATCCCCCCTGGGGGTGATTTTTTGCTTTGTCTCTCTGTCTCGCGAGCGCATGCGCCCTATAGCGAAAATCTCTTAAAAAAAAAAAAAAAGCCTGAAGACTTAAAAGGCGTTTTAAAAACTCAGCCCAAGGGGATTCACAGAGGAGGGTTCCCGGAGGTTGTGTCCAAGGTGGTTTTCTCAAAGGGTCCTGTGATCTTCCTTGGGGTGCCTTTCAAAGGCATCCTAGTCCAGCCCAGAATGGGCCAGACTCCAGGAGATCTCAGAGGCTGGTCTAAAACTGGAGGTTTTTTAACTAGAAGGGACCCTTGAGATGATTGTTTTTTTGTTTGTTTGTTTTTTTGGGAGAGATTTTCACTGTAGGGCGCGTGCGCTCGCCAGACAGACAGAGAGAGACATACAGACAGAAAGCGAGAAATCACCCCCCAGGGTGGATGGTCACACCGCAATCCCTTCTCCTCCATTCTCCTCTCGGGATCTTGGGCACGCACGCACACGCGCCCGGCGTGAGTTTTAAGCCACCGGGTCCGGGACGTGAACCGCGGTCGACTACGTGGGAGTCTAGCGACATAGCCATTACGCTAACTGCTGGTTCCCTGAGATGATTGTTTTTACAAAAGGAAGGTGAGCCCCGCAGGTTAGGCTGGGCTGGACTCACATGACTGGTAGTGGGCCCTACTCTTCACACAGTGCCTGTGCATTTATTAACTACAGCTATCATTTGAGTTCTTAATTACTTAACGAAGTATTGGGCTGAGCCGTTTATAGATCCAGGGGTGTGTTCAAGAAGTTCATGAGAATGCGTATTCCAAAAACCTTTTTCAGCACCAAAATGTACTCGTACTTCCGTTTTTCCGTGAACTTTTTGAAGTTCCCGTCATATTTCAAAATTCTCCTAGCAGCCCCATAGGGAAGGCACTACTGTTGCCCCATTTTTACAGATGGAGCCCAGAGAAGTTGAGTTACTTGCCCAAAGTTACATAGCCAGCAGGGCACTAGGAGCCATATTCAAACCTAGGAAGACTACGTTCAGAGCAAGTCTAACTTGTATGCTTTCTAAATGTTTGCGCTTTTCACTCTGAGGTCGTTGGAGGGGGATGTTGTTTCGGAGTTTATGTTCTGGGGTTCTTGACACCGGGAAAAGTCTGTCAAGAGCTGCCAGCCCCTCGCTAGGCTTCTCCCTCCTGGGCATGGGAATCCAGACTCCCCAGCGTCCCTCGACCAGCAGGAGTCGCCGTCGCCCTCGCAGCCAGGTCCGTTAGTCGAGGCGTCGTGGCGCCGGCGAGGGGCGCTGGAGTCCATGTACAATCCCTGGCGCCGAGGCCTCCAGGCCGGTAGGACCCACCCCTCCAGGTGCCCCGGCCGGGCGCCCGCGGCATCCGCC